TTTGGGAAAATAAAACAGTAATGCTTGGGGGTTTTAAATCCTTTGTATGCTGGAGGATCCTGGTTTGAACAATAGGCCAGGCTGTTCTTTGAAGCACACTGCCATGCTTGAGAAATACAGCCTTTGTCTTGGGGCAAACAGGCAGCTACAGCCAAATAACCTGACGCAACCCCGTCTCCGGGGGTCTCCTGGCCAACAGCATCCACATGGGGAATATCAGCCCTAAGAGCTTTGCATTTAGTTTTGAAGGGTGGTGTGTGAGGTCCTTACAGCTCAGAGCCCACAGACCCTCTTATTCTGGGTTACTCTGAGGTGGTAGAGTTTGTGGTGTAGGTACACATGTGGGGAACAGTCAGGTTGTGCCTGTAAGCTGGGTGACCCAAGAGCGGGGTTGGGCTGCTCATGTTGAACAGAGTTGTTGAGGGGTCAGGCCAGCATGAGGGCGGAGGGACAGCAACCCTGTGACCTGTTTCTGCATCTTGTTCCCCTCAGTTCCGCTTTAGTGGAGGAGGAGATGCTGGCTCGAAAGGACCTCTTGTTTCTGCCCAGGAGGCCCAAGCCCAAGCCATCCTGCAGCAAGCCAGGGTAAGTGAAGGCTGGTGGGGATGTCTCTTGCAGCAGGTACCCAAGGAAGCAGAGGGAGACCAGGATAGATGTGTCAGAGATGTCTTCATACTTGCACCATCCACAGTGCTTGTGGGGGTCACTTCAGCACAGGCTTCTTGGGCTGGTCTGTTCAGATAAGCCAAAAAGCAAATTATTTCACCTTTGAATGAAATTAAGCTCATTGAGGTCTCCACCCAGCTGGGTGGCACATGCCCCTTTTAGGTTTATAACAAGCGGTTTGGCTTAGCTGAGGCCATTCTTGTTTCCTTCCAACCCCCCTCTTCCAAAGGAGTTTGATCTTACACATACATATTCAGGTAGAGTACAGAGCCCTGATGCCACTGGCCACTGCGTTTTCCTGCCCATGAATGTTGCTCTGAGGATAATATTGGTGGATTGTGTGTCTGGTGTTACCTTGTCAGTCCTAATTTTCCTAATTTCAAGCCTGCCTACAGTTTTTCCATCAGTGTTTTCTTCTGCTGGGAATTTGACCAGACGAGCATTTCATGAGAAGATCTGCTTTCTCAGGCTGTCTCGTTTTGTTCTTTGTTTTCTGCTTGTTGAAAATTGGGCCTGTAATGAAAAACCCAAAGAACCTCCCTCCCCTCCCTCCAAATCCGTATCCTCTGTTTTGGTTTTGTTGGGTTTATTTATTTGAATTAAGATCAGTTTAACAAACAAACAAATCCCAGGTGGCTTCTGGGCTGTGGATGAGAAGTTGAATAGTTCCATAAAGGAAAAAACCCATGTATTTCTTAGTTAACTTCAACCTATTGTTAAACAATTCGAGCTGAAAACCCTGATACCAATACAGAAAGGGAAATAAATGACTTCTGTTTTGTGGGGAAGCTGCAGGATATGGCAGGAATGGAAGAGGAGTCCTGCGGGGGAAGGACATCTTCTTTCCTTTTTGGGGGTAGTTTTTCTTATTATCATTGTTAATTACATTTTTCAGGTTGATATATTCCCTTTAAATTTGGATAACATTAGGCAGCACTCACTGTCCCAGCTGATGGCATTTCAGAGCATCTCCCTTTTAGTGGGGTGTTGTGAAAAGATGCCACAACACGTAGCATTTGTGCAGTATTTATGCCATTCCAAGTGCAATTGCGGGTAGATTTTAATTACTGGAGTACACAGATAATTACAACTCTCTTAGTGTTCAGTTGTCACGAGGGAACAAGTTGCCTGAGTGATGCTTTAAAGCATGGACCAGCCCCATTACCCACCATGGGGATTACTGATCTGATGCATGGTTCTGTGACTCCTTAATTATAGAGCTAAAAGCCCCCTGGTGCAGATAGAATTCTCATTCTGTTCACGGGGTATTTAAGTAGTAACTAAAAAAGGGGGAAAACTCCTCCAAAATTGATCTCTCAGGATGGTAAAGAAAAAAATCCTCCTAACCTGGACTGTGGTCATAGACATATGTGAGCAAACCCCTATAACCTGGCCAGGCACAGTTCTGATGTTTACCTTAAATGATTTGTAGCCAGAAGCATCCATCTTACTGTGTCGATATATGATGATGGAAAAGGGGGTCTGGGCTGCAAGGCAGATTCTCATCAGGTTTAAATGCAGGTAATTCCTCACCTCTCCACATGCCAGGGTCTGGGCCAGGGTGTGACTATATACATCTATGGATGCCCCATCCCTCGCAGTGCTCAAGGCCAGGTTAAACTTGGTCTAATGGAAGGTATCCCTGCCCATGCAGCTGGATGAGCTTTAAAGTCCCTTCCAACCCAAACCATTCTGTGCTTCTATGATCTATACTCATCTACACGGTTCTCAGGGCACGGAGGGAACGTGTGGCTGGTGGCTTTGTCCCATTGCAGCAGCAAAGCAGAGACATCAACTGAGCAACATTTCTCTTTGTGTTGCAGCTGGCGCTGAGAGGACCAGCAGGTCCAATGGGTCTGACGGGGCGGCCGGGCCCCATGGTAAGTGAATGGGCAAGTGAGGGTAGAGCAGAGCCATGGATGCTCTGGATTACCTGCATGAATGGCTCTTTCTTGACGTGGTGTGAATCTTCCCTCTGTCTCTATTGTGGGAAAATGTAATAACTCCTGTTCTCTGTCCAAAGGGACCCCCGGGCAGTGGAGGACTAAAGGGAGAAGCTGGAGAAATGGGACCTCAGGTGAGTATGGGCATATGGTGTGACCAGGAGATCCTGGGGAAAGGAGAGCGTGGAGTCCTGCTTTAGATGCTGTTGTAAAGGAGCGAGTCAGTAACCCAAAGCCAGCTGAACGTGTGTGGGAACATCTGCTTTGCATATAAATGTCTCTTCAAGTATCCAAATGCAGACTCGAGACATAATTTGAAGCCAGCAGTGTAAGATTCTGCAGGTGGTTTTCCTTCCCTTTTCTTTCCTGCGGAGACATCCGTGTAGGAGTCCTGTAAATACAAGATGGGTTGGAGTGTGGGGAGTTTGCTAATGCTCAGGAAGTTGTTCCTCCAAGCCATAAATCCTGGAATAAGGGGAAATTCCCACTTTCTAATGGTAGGGGAAGTAATCTGTCTCCACTGCATGGAGCTGCTTGGAGGGCAAAAGCTTCTTCATGCAATTCCTGTGTAGAGATGCTCGGTCCTGAGCCTTTCTTGTGTATTTTGAACAATGGGCTCTGCTTGAGGAGTCCACATCCCATTTTGTAGCCCTGGTAACCTGGGCAGCCCCAGCAGTGATCTGCAGTGCCAGCAGCACTGGTTCCCTCTGTTGTGCCTGTGGGTGATGATACCATTTCTTCCTCTCCCCTTGATGTCTTGCAGGGTCCACGAGGCATCCAGGGTCCTCCCGGTCCGGCAGGAAAGCCAGGCCGCAGGGTAAGTGTCCCGGGACTTTGCTGACGACTGTGTGAGCTGCAATTCCTGCTAGAAACTGCTTCTGCTGCCAAATAATTCCTGAGCAATTCTGAGAGCATTGCACAAGAGCAGGCTGGTGGCCAGCGGTGCCTTGTCCAGGACCTCTCTGTCCATCTGGGCAGACACAGATGAGGATGGGAGTTACAGGCCGGGCAGATGTGGGAGAGCTGCAGGTCCATGCTCCCCACATTTTTGTCCTCATTTTATTTTCCTCTGTGGTGTTGAGGTTGTAGCTGCATAAATGATGGGCTGGTGTGGACAGAGCCCAGATGTCTCAGTAATGCACAAGGAGGATCCAGTCCCCAGGGGTTGCTGGAGCTGGTATAAGTTGTGCTCACCCACTCTGCCAACACCTCCAATGCTGATTTTCATTTCACAGCATCCTCTGGCTCATCGTGATTTGGTTTGTCAGAAGAAGGAATGAGAAAATCTTTTGTGTGACCCACTTCTGGCTTTCCCAAACATCTCTCATTTCAATTTGTGAACATAGTGATTATCATCTCTTAAAATGTGCTGGGAAATAATTATTTCAGATTAAAATCAAGGACCACGTCCTGGCATCCCATGTAGTGAAGCAGCTTTGCTGCCATGTGTCTCACACCAGGCTGAGCCCAGGATGCTGCTTCCAAACCAGACCAGCACGTTTTCCCTCCCAAGGGAAGCTGCTTCTCAGTGAGCTCTGACTTAAAGCTTCACTCAGCCGCAGAGCAGAGAGCACAAATGTCCCTGGGTCCTGCCCTGCCCTTGGTGTGTGACTTTGCTTTTCTCCATTGCAGGGACGAGCCGGCAGTGACGGTGCCCGGGGAATGCCAGGGCAGACAGGACCAAAGGTACCACCACGTACTGATATGCTGTTAGAAACTGCATCTGCCTTTTAGCAGTGAGCTGAGGGACCCTCGGCAGCAGGAGCCCACCTTGCTTGGAGAAGGTGGTTGAACTGGTGCAGGGGCTCCATGTTTGAGAGGAAGAAGTTAGACACACACCTAGAAGGCACAATAGCAGTTCTTCTTTTCCTTTCATGTTTTTAATTGATGGATCCTCTTAAGAATGAACTATGCTCCCTTGGCTGCTGTTGGAGAACAAATACTTCAGAATGCCAATTATGAAAAACAAACATGAATGAGCAGTTGGAAATGTCCTAAAATATAACTACAAAACCTCCATTCTATTAACTGGGTGAGGAAATGGGGAAGGCGTGATGAGGAATTTTAATGCCCTGTATTTTTATTTGAGACAAAATCCCTTCATTCAGCTGTGATCTGCTGGTATTATCAAGCAAGAAAGAAGCTGTGCCACTGAAATTGAATGCAGAGAAAGTTTGCTCAGGGAATCGTGTATTAGAAGGTTTAAGTACTTTATTATGTAGATACTTAAAGCTGGAATAGATGGGGTTTTGATATAGAGACAGGAGACAGCAAATCATTTATCTGGTAAAGTGCTTTAATGAGCGTCGACTGCCCTCAAAGGAGGGATGCAGGAAAGAAGGGAAAGCAGAATAACGAGCAGCACTGGGAAGGAGAAGGAGGTCTGCAGTGAGCAGAGGCAGAGCGGTGCTGCAGGGCCTGCCAATGGGCAAGAGCTGCCCATTCCCCTGGGGAGCACTTTGGCCATGTCGACCTGACCTTCCAGTTGGAAAGATATGCAACAGGAGGTGGAAGTGTCAACTAAACTGGTTTCTCTTTTAGGGTGACCGAGGGTTTGATGGCTTGGCTGGTTTGCCTGGTGAGAAAGGAAATAGAGTAAGTTACCTTCCACTTGTCCTCTAGCCACTGTCTGGAATGAACCCGTGACTGGGAGGTGCTGGGAGGAGGGCAGCTACTGCTGGGGATGAGCCACAGTGGTGCAACTGGGAGAGCATAAGCGTGTCCCATCAGAGCGTGTGGGATGTCAGAGCATCCCTCCTAGGCACAACATTCACATCACGGGAAGCTGTGAGATCCTTCTGGGTCTGATTGAGATTGGAAAGGCAGGGGGGTGGGGGAGAGGGAAATTACCTTGATAAAATGCAGACTGAAAAATAAAGCAAGAGGCAAAACCTGCTTTCAGACAGTGCGGTTGTGGATGGAAGTCACCCAAAATTATAATGGGATTTTTCTCTTTGCTTTATAATTAAACAAAAGGGGAAAAAATGCAAGAGGCTGGTTATTTTGGCAGGCTGTTCATGACTCCCCTCCCTAGAGAACACAGCCATGGCTTTATAAAGCAAGGGAGTGTTTGAACAGCGGAGATTGCATCGTGATTACAAGCTACACAGGAAAGGGAAGACGGTGCCTTAGAGAGATGCTTAATCAGCCAGAAATGGAATAGCATGGCTTGGGTAAAGCAGTAACTGCATGCAAAGCCTGAGCCCTGCTCCTGAAGGAGCTACTGCTTGGTTCCCAGTTTCCTGACAAAGTGTTACCAGTAAATCCCATGAGCTCTCACCCAGGAGGTCATTAGTCTGTCCATGCTGGAGTCCACAGGGCAGGTAGAGAAGAACTGTTGCTTTGGAGAGAATATGGAAGGGAACCATGAGGGCACCTTCAGCACATGGGGCAGGCAGAAAAGTCATGTCCCTCCCTTGGGTTATCAACGTTCCCCAATGTTTTCCGTTGTCAGAGTGTGTCTACCTCCTCTGAGGCTTTTTCTCCCTTGCCTTTACAGGGTGAGCCAGGCCCCCACGGACCCCCGGGGGCACCTGGAGAGGATGGGGAGAGGGTAAGTCTGTCTCCGGATTAAAAGGGATTCTCTAGGAATCCCTTTGAATAGAGAACTAACTCCTGTAAACAAGAAGCAGATGCCACATTGGGCAGAGACGTGGCAAGAGCAGCCGGTCGCCTGCTGCTGGTCCTTGTGTCCTTGGGATGCTGCAGATGGCCATGGAGGAGGGAGGGAGGAACAGGGAGGTGGGAGAGGAAGTGAAAAGAAGAATTTGTGTTTAAAGATCTGGTCAGAAAGTCAGGTTTTGTTAAAAGAATAAAATAAGACAAGAAAAATGTTCGTTTTCCAGGTGAGCAAACATCAGTTCTGATTTTCAAAGACCCAGCAGATTGCAGCAAGACTTGGGGAATAGAAATTCCAGACAGAAGTGGGAATTAAAGATTAAATGGTTCCTTTCTCCTTCCTTCCACACTGTTTAGTCAATAGTCAAAGGCCTTTAGCAGAGCTCACATTAAGTGATTGCAGGTCTAGAATGGCTGGTTTAAGAGGAGAGATTGCAAATGCTGAAGCCGTGCCCGTGAGGAGCTCGTGGTTTAACCAGAGGAGCGAGTATGGATTTTCCCAGCTCTAATCCCCTTCTACGACATCTTCTTTCCACCTTTGGCTGTTTGTTTCCTCTGTAAAGCACAGATAATAGCACCTTCCTTATCACGAGCTTGTGAGGAGAAATTAATTGTGGCTGTAAATGCTTTGAAGGTGGAAAGACAAACCAGTGTCTTGCAGGGGAAGAACAAGTGTCTGGAGAACTTTAATCCTAAAGAGAAAAATAAACCATTTGAGGTGTGTGGAGAGACGCCCCGAGGGCACGGCTGGGAGGAAGAGCATGAGTTTTGTCAGCAGAAGAGGAGGGTTTACAAGGGCTGGCTGCTGGGATTGATTTCCTACGGGAGGACCCTCAGGTTCCGGGTGATTTAAAAGCAATTCAGGGGAAGCACCAGCTAATACTCCTGAGGGATCCGTGGGGCATCAGGAGATGGGGAGTGAAGGGATGAAGAATTGCCCCTTTGATGCCTCTGGTTTATCTGAGGAGCTCTGCTTTGGCTCAGTCACATTCTGAGAGAAGTGCTCCCATACTCGCTTGTCATGCAGTGAGGGACTAAATCTTGTGTTTATTAACTCACATGCCCTGAATTGTTTCTGTGCTGTCCAGTCTGTTACCAAAATCCATCTTTATAAACATCGACATGAATTATGACGTATCCCCACAGCATTTCTAATCCTTGGTAAATTCTGCCCATGCAGGATTAGTCTCCAGGCTTACGACGTCTTCCTTATGCACGGCTGCCCTTCTATTACTCCAGGGAAGCTGGTGTTCTGTGTGAATATTGTTTAACAAGAGTGAAACACCTGTGATGTGACTGAAATATAACTGCCTTTTTCTGTCTCTTGTGCCATTTCTCTCTGCATCTTCGCTGCTGAACAGGGAGATGATGGAGAAGTTGGACCCAGAGGTCTGCCTGGAGAACCTGTGAGTATCTTCTCCTTTGGCTTGATGTACAGTGGCATTGCTTTGGTCAAGATCTTGATATAATGGTGGTTTTAGTGGTTCTGTGGGATAGTTCTGGTGCTGGGGTCCTGCAGGGTCTGAGCTTCTCTTGCTTGATGGTTCACATGAATGATTTAGAGAGTATCTGTGCTGTAACAACTCTGTTCGGGTTTTTTTACCCCCTAGGATTCAGATAAGTAGACTGGGGTACAAATCAGGCCTAGTAAACAGATGTGAATGAAGTTTTCATGAATGGTCATTGCAAACTCCAGTGAGCAAAAGGTTTTGTCTGCTGCTGGGTACGAAATGGCAGCAGTTCTCCATGCAGGTCCCTTGCCCACACGCTTAGTTTTGTGCAGTCAGTGCTCCCTTTTAAATCCTGGCAGGACTGAGCTCAAGGGGTCTTTGAGCCCTGACTTCAGGGGGGTCAATATTCAGTTCATAGTGCACAAAAACTTCTGAAACCTGCAGAGTTTGTGGGTCTTTGGGCCTCCATGCGCTGTGAGTACCGGGGCGGCTGAGCCAGGGCTAGCACAGGAGGGAGCCCTTGGTGCCAGTAAGGTTACAAAGATGCTAATGGTGTTGGACAAAAACCTCTTGACCAATATAAGAAATGCTTTTAGGGAATTCAGCACTGAAAAGAAACAGTTGGGTTGTCAATTTGAGACTCTAAAAGCATTTCTTTTACCCCACTACTGAGTATTTTTGACTTTATTGGCAACAGTAAACTCTGCTTCTGGCTGGCTGCAGATCTCTGTGTGTAGTACAGTTGCTGGGTGCTGATTTCATCCCAAATGCATTTCCTTTGTTATGAAAAGAACATTATCTACCATTTACCATCAGTTTTGCTTTCAGAATGGCTTATTTTGTTGTTCTAAGGCCCAGCATGGTGGCCTGAGAGTAATTGATGGGAACAGTTGGACACACTTCATGTGAGAAAGGGAAGCACTGGCATTTACGGACTCACTGGAACTAAATTATAGGCAAGATGTCTGATTAACTTCTAGGAAAGATTAATCAACTCATCTATCTCCTTAGCACATGTCTAGGCAATAAGTTATGGGTTATTAAGTTCTTAAAAGCATTTATGTGCTCAGGTAACACAGTAACAAAAGAGGAACTTAACTGATGATAATGCACGCAGGGAAGTTTATGTTTATTTCAGCAATGCAGGTAAAAATACCTGTGATGGCCAGAATGAAGGTTGAAATTGCAACACAGGAAGCTTTTTGTCATAGCTATTTACACCCTAAATGTGCATGTTTGCTTCTTTCTCTGCCCTCAGCCAAAGGAGGCTCTTTCCAAATTTAATAGTAACTGAAATGAGTGGTGGGACTTCAAAATTTGTTTCTCTTCATGGGCTTCATTTCCTTGTGATTCCTGTCACTGGGTTATTCAAGCAGAGTTCCAGCTCTGCTGGGGCTCAGCATGGGCTGTGGCCCATGAAGGTCTCTGGTGCCAGGGGCTGATCTCTTGGTTGATGGAGCCAGGTTTTGCTGCGTTTTTGCAGGATCAGAATCCCTGCAGTATCCAAGATCAGACTCTCTCTTAATGTCTCCTGTATTACCCTGTAACATTTAATTTTAATTCCTCTGTTCTCTCTGCATCATAAAAAGAGGGACATGTAATATTTGGGCAGACAGATAAAACTGCCCATCAATCAGGAATGATTTTCCTCCATGACAGTGAACAAGCACCATCCTTGTAAATGCCCCGAGTTCTCCTACAGTCCCTGATTTAAGCAAGGGCCTGGGTTCAATTGTGAGCTTCCAGATCCGCAGCTGAGGGCACACAGGACCCCATCCCATTCCTTTTACTACAAACCCACCTGAAGGCTCCAGGTAGAGGAGATGTTGGGATTTCCAAAGGTTCCCACTGAATGAAGACAACTCTCATGCCACGTCTCTGCTCATTCAGCGTGATGCTCCAGTCCTACCCCTTTCCCTGAAGATGATGTGAGGTTAAATCTGGTGAGAAAGCCAGAAATGGAACGACTTGGCTGTGAAGGGGTTTGCGTCATTGTGTGCATTGCAGGGAAACCCAGGAATATGGTTAGTAATAAATTAGTAGTAAAAAGTTGGTTTAAGCACGTCTTCTTCCAATCCAAGGAGTAGGTGTCTGCGCCTCTATTATTTATCTTTACAACTCAAGGATAGGTGCACATGGGATTTCTGCTACAGTAAACCAGGAGACCTGCTGCTACAGTAAACCAGCAGGGTCATTGCTATGCCAGTCCCGGTGATGCTCATTCCACTCCCTGCACGGCAGCACAAGGGCTCCAGGATCACTAATCCCATCTGCTTCCCCCAACAGGGGCCCCGAGGACTGCTGGGACCGAAGGGGCCACCAGGACCCCCGGGACCACCGGTGAGTTCCTGGGGCTGCTGCCCTCCTCGGGCAGAACACGCTGTTCCCGTTAATCATCCAACCGGATAATGCAGCTGCATAATCTCACACATGTGGGCAATGAAAAGCAGTGCTATTCAGAAAATACAGTTAAGGCTCCAAGTCCATTTTCTCCCCCATTTTCAGTGGCATCACGTCCATTTAAAGCAGCTCAAGATTTGGGGCACCTGAGTAAATATTAATGCCTCACTCAGGCTGAAAGGGAAGAATGAGAGTTTTTAACACAGCAGCTTTGCCATTAACTTCTGCCTGAGGGCTGGTGGGACTTTGAAGCAGTTTGTTCATATTTCGGGCAAAAGCCAAGGAAAAAAATGTGCCATTTTTTATCTGGGAGACAGTCACCTTGTCTGCCGTGCGCTGCTGGGAGCACTGACACAGGGGCTTTCCCGTAAATCACTGCAGTTTGCTGGAGTCCCAGTACTTAAAAACCAAACCCCAGGCTGCTGCTCGAGCTAAAAGGGTCAGCGTGTAACGGGGAGCGTTGTGAAGCCCTTAACCTCTCCTGAGACAAGAAAACATCTTCATGTTGAGCTCCTACCTTTGCTGAAGTTTAATGAGGGTTCAGGATCTGCTCCAAAATGGTCTCTTCTCCCACCAGCACACCATTACAGCCCATACCTCGCTCAGCCTCAGAGCAGAACAGTGGCAGGGGAAGCCCCAGCAGCACATCTCCAGTGGACCATGTACCATGTTACCCCATTAATGGAGACACTCAGGGCATGTTTGACCCCAGCTGCCTTTTGATTTGGCACAAAGCAGCGCAGCCTCATTGCCTTCACCCACTGCCTCAATGAGCGATGCATTCGCATCCCGAGTGAGCTCTTTTCATAGAATCCCAGCCTGGTTTGGGTTGAAGGGACCTTAAAGCTCCTCTAATTCCAACCCCCTGCCATGCACACGGACACCTTCCACTAGAGCAGGTTGCTCCAAGCCCCTGTGTCCAACCTGGCCTTGAACACTGCCAGGGATGGGACTTTTCCTTCTCATTTACTGCTCCATGCCTGCTCGTTGGGGGCAAATCAGCTGCTTTACCAAACACCTTTACAAAATCGTTCCCTTTCCCCATCATCCAAAGGGCCTCCTCATGTCTTTATTTATTTTTATTGCCATTTTTCTGCTTTTGTGGTGCACAAGAACAAGATCTTCTCTTAGTGCTGTTCTTAAATCCTTCCTCAGGGTGTGGCTGGTATGGACGGACAAACTGGTCCCAAGGGGAATGTGGTAAGTTTTCACTGCAAATTTTACAGGCAGTTGAGATATTATATAGAGTGAAATGTAAAATGTACTCTATTAAATTAGATTTTCTAATTGCTTTTTAGCCTGGTCTAGATTCCTACCAGAGCCTGTGAAAACCACAGAGAGTATCTTCCTGCAGCAAATGGATGTTAATTTCTTATAATTTCTGATGGAATTACACATTATTTCCCCATGCAAGATCAAACATTTTCATTGAGATGTGTGTTGTTCTAATGAATATCAAAATATAGTAATTTAACTGAGAGGGAAAAAAAAATCTTTGTGCTGATGGGATGAAACGGGCTCCCTGCAGAAGAGCTGGAGGGTCAGAACCCCGCTCAGCTCCTCTGGGCTCTGTGTCCCTGCAGAGAAGTGAGTGTGCCCTGGAATCACTTCCCTCATCCCTGTCCTGCCATGGAGAGAAGTTGTTTCCCTTTCCAAGGAGCAGTCAGTTCCCAGCAGAGGGTTAGAGAGGGTGTTGAGATGATGCACAGGGGCAGGAGCCAGAAGAAGCCTCGGCTCCATTCTCACCTCTCCTGCCTTCAGCTCTGCCCTTGTCTCCTCACAGGGTCCTCAAGGTGAGCCGGGTCCCCCAGGACAACAGGGTAACCCGGGTGCTCAGGTAAGAGGGAAACTCCTTTTCTATGGGTAGGAGAAAGGAATGATAGTTTAGAACAAGCTTCATTACCCCACCAGAGACAGGACCAGCACTATGGAGATTTGCTGGGAATTGACTTGATGATACGTTGCTGGCCCAAACTCCCCCTGAAAACCCTCTTGGTTTCACATCCCCTGATTCTCACCTGGCTTTTGCTGCCATGAGGCAAAGCTAAACCCAGGTCCAAGTCTTCTCTTTGGCCAAGTCACGTCTTGTGGCTCAGGCCTGACTTTTAGGATCCCACAGTCCACTTGCTCTGGAGCCAGATGGCTGATACAGATGTCCAAGCCTTGCTGCCGGCCTTCTCCACAGCTCTCAGCAAGTCTCACTCCTCAGAGCATCTCTGTTTCCATCCTGGGGCCGAGCAGTGCAGCTCCCCGGGGGAGGAGAGGAAAGGTTATCGTCTCTCACAAGACATTTTGAGACTGAATGGACCTGGGGAAGTCCCCGGTCATGTCAGGCACTAGAGTAACGCTCAGTTCAGGCACTGCCAAGAGGCTTTTGGAAGTAATAACTTGTTCCTTAATGACCCTGGGTTTTTTTTTCTTTCACAGGGTCTTCCAGGCCCACAAGGCGCGATCGGTCCCCCAGGAGAGAAAGTACGTTTAAATCCTGAGCTCTGGCTTCAGACAACTGTTGCCATTGATACGTGTTTGCTGCCTCAGCTGCTCCTTTGCTCCATATGCAACATCTGTTTGCAGCCGTGCCTATGAAAGTCTAATGCCTCTCATTCCAGACGAGAGGGACAAGAAAGCATGGTTTACCTCTAATTCATAATATTTGCATTCATTTCCCCTCTTAAAAGAAACATTCTAAAGGCAGCCTATGGTAAAGCATTAGGAGAGGATTGAAAATTGTCTTGTTCTGTGGGCTAAATGCCTGGAAGTCTGAGCAGGATGGTAATGGGAAGAGCCCATGGATTTGGCTCACTCAGCCAAGATCTGTTCACCTCCTTCCTGCCTGCTCCAGCTCTCTCTGATCTTCCACTGCTGTTGCTGCAGGGTAGGTGCTGCTGTTGGGTCCCCCAACCCCAGAAGCCCTGGGACCACTGTGATTTAAAGAAGCAGAACAGTTTTGCCCTCAGAGCAGTTGTTGGGTGTTTGGTGAGCTCCCACTGAGGAGGGACACCCAGTGTGCATTCAGATGTGTGCCCCAGACCATCCTCACTGGGGCTGGACTCCAATTATCAATAATTCTCCTGCAAAGGAGCATTATCCTGCAACTTGTCCTACACTCATGTGCAGCGTTCGGCCTTTTGGCAGGACAGAGCTTGATGCTTCATGCCCCAGTGCCTCCTGTCGAGCTCCCATTGCTGTATCATGTCTGTATGTGTGAGCTGCTGGCACTAACGCTGCAGCATCCCAGGATGCTGGAACAACTGCCCATAGAAATGGCCAGACTCCCTACAATCACAGCATCTCTGTCAGCAGATTCACCTCTCTGCAGCCTTTCACAGCTAGGAAAAAGAAGAATTGTGTCTGAAAAGGGGCGTCCTCCAATGCTCTGAGACTCTGACCATTGAAGCTGTTGATTTTTGGTTTGCTTTTAGGGGCCGCTGGGCAAACCTGGTCTTCCTGGCATGCCTGGGGCAGATGGTCCTCCGGTAAGTTGTTCTCTCCTGGGTCTGTATTTGGCATCATGGCTGGGGGGTCTGATCCTGCACCCATCCACCCTGGGGTGCACCTTGGGATAGTGAAGCACGTGAGCCTGAAAGGCTGGGTTGAAAGGTTTGAGTCTGAGAAGCTCTCGCTGCTCCGATCTTTGACCAGCCTCACAGTGCAGCACTAGGCACTTCTTGCCATCTCTTGGGGCCTCTCTTTCCCCTCCTCCCGTTTCTCCCCCCTGTTTCAGCAGGTTGGCAGCTCACTGAGGTAAAGATGCTCTCCTGTGTGTGAGCATGTTTATACACTGTGCAGCACAAGCACAGGGTGGTCCTCATCTTGCCTGGGGCCGCTGGGCACTGCTGCGGAACAGTGATAAGAGCAGGTTGAAATTGCATGTCAATATTGGATTCCTGGAGCTTCCTCCTAATCCTGCTTTAAGCATAATTTGCTCCTTGCTCTAGAAATTGGTCTTAATCTCTGGCCTTTAAACCTGATCTCACTTTTACACACCTCAGAGGCAGCTGGTTCTAAGAGTGATAAATGTAAAATAGTTACATCCCATAATGCAGATGGAGAACATGGCAAGAAAAATGATGTTTCCCACCCTGGGACTGTCATTCCTTCAGAGGGCATTTGGAACACTCACACAATGGTTAGCTGAGTCAACAGAGCAGTGAAAGCAAATCCCAGAACATCTCTAAAGCTGTAGCTTTTGATGTGAATTCCTGCAGCAGCCTCCAGGGAAGTTCTGCTGGAGAAGATGCCAGCTCTGTTTTCATGCAGACTGAAGGCTGGATCAGACCTGCAAGCAGAGCACGTGTGGGTGTGTGTGGACACAGGTCCTTTGCCACAGGTGGCCAGGCAGTGTGCAGATAGCCTGTAGGTTTGTAAGCATGTGGGTTGCTCTTTCCAAGGACAAAACCCTGCCCCTCTTCTCTTTGTAGAAACTGGACTTGGAAGATACCTGAAAATCCCTGGGGGCCTTTCTCACTGCAAAAGCCAAGTTGCTCATCAGTTTTTGGTCTTGGCAGCAGTAACAGAGATGGACACTTTGCAACTGGTGATGATTTAGTGCAGAGTGGCCAAAGGCTTTAGAAATCTTGCTGCACTTCCATTTTGCCTCTTGGGGATGTAGCTACCAGGAGCTGAAGGCAGGCACAGGGAGATGACCCTCGTTGTGCACTGCTGCTTTTGGTGACATTTAAGCTCACAGGACAAATTCAGATTGCGTGTTCTCCTATGTGTTGTTGCTGTAAAAATGACAACTGCCATTTCATTCCTGTATTAAACCAGCTTGGTTATGGAGTCTGGCTGGTCTGACATTCCCGTGCTGAAGAGCAATGGTGGAAAATTCACTTTTGTTTTCTACTGACTACACATTTAGGGTTCTAAAGGTGATGAATGAGAATGTGTTGGGAACTTTGGATGCTGAGTTATTCAACATCAAATCCCACAAGGAATGCTGGCCGCCAGCCAGCCAGCCAGCCATGGTCTGGAGGTGATGCAGGTTGGCTGAGCCTTTGTCATGAGATCTTGTAATGGACTCTAGGAATTAGGAAATGAATGAGAGGTTCTGACCAGTGAGGGGGTCCTGTGACCTTCACAGGTTCGCCAACACCTGGAGTGAATTTTACGTGCTTTCCTATTGCTGTGCTGCTGAACTCGCTGAACTGTTCTAATAGATGAGGAACACTGCAAAATGGTTTGTGTTTCTCAGCTGAAAGAGGGTGAAGAGTAGAAGTATAAATAAGGAGGTAGAACATCAGCAAGGACCCAAATGCTGGCGCTCTCCTTCTGCGGAAAGCTCGCTCTTGCAAGCTGGCTTCAGGGGCTGCTTGCATCAGTGACAGCTTCCTGGAGAGCAGCTCTTCTCTTAGAAATAAATCATAGCTGTCTGTGCGAGCTGTTGGCTTTGGAGCGTTAGACACGCACTAACCCATTTTCCTCTTTGTATCTTTCACTAATAGGGTCATCCTGGCAAGGAAGGTCCTCCCGGAGAGAAAGGGAGTCAGGTAGGTGTCGACACGACCCTCGTCACTGCTAAGGGGAAGGTTGCTGTAGCTGGATGGGGACAAATCTCTATTGGGCTCTGGGGATGGCCGGGCAGCTGGGGGATGTGGGTCAGTGGAGGTGGCAAGAAACAAACCCTGTTGAAATTTGGGAGCTGAGCCCAGATTTAATCTCTTGAGAGTCTCTTCTGGGGCTTGGGCTGGTCTTTCCTCAGCTCCTCCCAGCTTTCCTGGCAAGCAGCACTCCATAATCCAGCAGACATGAAAACTGAAACTGTGAAGGGAAACCTTCCCTTAACCAGACACAAATAAACATCCTTCGTGGCACAGGGAATGAAGAAAATAACTCTTTTTGTATTCCTGGCCTCCCTTTTTCTTCCCCTCCCCCTCAAAGCCCCTCTTTAACAATATATTTGAGAATATTGCCGGAGGCTGGAGGCCTTGAATTATACATGAATGATACAGCATCCGTCTGTCCGGGAGATTTACTCCCTGCATTCCCGCTGTGTCCCATTTGGTTGGAAAACATTACATCTGTCTTTGATGGGAGCAGTCGGGTTTGATGGATGCCAGCCCCAGCCCCGCTCGGGTGCTGCAGGGAGCACGACCCATGGCTGCAGCCGTTCGTCTGGTGTCTCCCAAGGCTGGGAATTCAAACGTTGGCCTCTGCAGGGTATGAGAAGCCAACAAGTGGTTGTGCTGGTGCTCCCTGTGCTGGGAGAGGATTGGCAAATGTCAGGGAGGTGATTTTGGAGCTGTGCTGGTGCTGTGGGTCTCCTCCAGCCGACATTCCCACCGGGTCTGGGACACTGCAGGACCCATGGGCTCTGCCTGGCTCTCAGGCTGGAAAAGCTGGTCTGTGTCAGGCTGGGAGATGTGGAGGGCCCTCTGTTTACTTAGGAACTGAGCAAAATAAAAGCCAACCAGGTTCACTAAGGAACGTGATTTGTTTGCAGGTGTAAGAATGGCAGTGAGGGTGGGCAGGAGCTTTTACAGGCATGTACCAGGCTCCGTGATCTAGCACAGCTCGTGGTGTCCCTGGGGATTTGCAGTGCCAGAAAGGAGCTTTGTGAACTTCTCCTGTCCCACATATCTCAGGCCAAAGGACATCACCCAGAGGCTTGTGCCTCAGGCAGTAACCCCTCTCTGTGATCATCACCATCACAAGCTCTGCTGTATTACTGCAAAACCAGGATGGTTTGGAAGAGGGGAAACAGCAGAACATGTTCTTCCTCTCTGAGAACTGTTTTGTTTAATCCAAAACACAAATCATTGTTATCACAAGTTGTTGCTACCCTGACTCTTCTCATCCTCTTTTCCTATGGTTTGGATCTTTGCTGTTGGCTTAGCCCCATGCACTTGCTCTAGGTGATGTTCCTGTAGCACTCTCAGCTATTCTGAGCTATTTTAGGATGGCTGTTGCCGTCTGCATCCGGTCCAAAGCAGCCACATGGCCAGGATATGTGTTTTCCACACTCTCCTTATTGCTGCACCTTCATGTTGATTTTTGACATGTTTTTCTTGTTTGCCTTTTTTCCACCCCAGGGTCCACCAGGTCCTCAGGGCCCCATCGGTTACCCAGGACCACGTGGAGTCAAGGTAAGAAGGACAGAGAACCAGTGTCCATGGCATTGCTTGTTCAGCTGGAGTTCTCCAGCTTGTGCTGGAGGTGGACACTGATGGTGGCACAGATGTCCTACCAGAGCACTTAGGGCCACCTCAGGGGCCAACTTGAGTGAGCCTTGGTCCAGCATCTTCTCCCAGGCCATGATGATTACAAGTCCCCTGCTTTCCAATAACCCCTCCTAGCATCACTCAGTGCTTTGCAGGGATTTCTCTTTAATTCTTCGTGAGCATGGCTCAGTCCCATTCCAGTCGTTTCCAGTTTACAACCAAAGCAAATCTCAGCCAGAATGTGAAGATTTTAACAAGGCTTGTTAATAAAACAAAATAGCCCATTACTAAAACAAAGCAAACTTTTCATGCTCCTGACCAAGACCCTGTTAGACGAAGCTGGTGCATCTCAGCAATGTGCTCCTTCACTGGATTAAATTCCAGCTCTTGCCCTACTCCTGCTGCCTGCAGCACTCACATGCTGATGATAAGGCGGTGGATGTTGTTTTCCCCATTCAGCTGTGGCTGTTATGCCCATCAAGATGTATTAGCTCAGGTGCAGATGCATCCTGCATCCCAAAGGTCCAATGAATCTGCAGGGATCTGTGCAAGCAGATACAAACACAGCTTGGGGACAGACTGTAGGTGAAGCGAAGCCCTCTTAAACCCTTGTATATTTTTTCAATAGCAGAAACCCATTTGCTGTTCTGCCCTCCAAATTTAAAGGGATGTATTTAGCCAACACAAGCTTCCATCTCATTTCTTGCAAGGTTGCAGATTGAGACATAGTGGTCCATTAGGGAATGGTTTGCTGTTGTGTTTACCAGTAAAGTGGAACTGTTCCACATTAGAGTGATCTACAGGAAGTCGTGCACCAAACCGATAGTGAGTACAGACAAGGTTTTGCTTCCTACAAGCAGTGTTCTATTAACTGCACAAGCCTCCAGTTCAGGAAAAATATGTGTCTCATTGGGTTTGCAGCTGTAAATAACTTTGAGCTCTCACCAGACCCTGTCCTGCTGCACAAATGTTGATGTACTTTTAATTATACTTTTTCTTGACATGCTGAAGAGAAGAAAAAAATTAAACTACCCAAAGCAAAATATTGTTCCTCAAACTAAAAAACCCCAAAGTTTCTTCTATTCATTGTCAGATTTGCATTTCCCAGGGCAGCTGGGGTAGGTACTGGAGCATGATGTTTGCTCCCAAGAGGCAGGATGGATGGGAAGCATGGGTGTCCTGCAGATTGGGCTGGTGGCAATAGCAGGGGGCAGATCCAGACCACACTCAGCACCTCTGGCCTGAACACCACGGCTGATTGCCTTGGTGAAGCTTTGGAAGGCTTCTGCACCATGTCATAAATGCCCACACTGGTCATGTTGTCTTTTTGGTTTTTCACTTTTTGGAGCCTAAATGTGCTTTAAAAAGACAGTGCACGCACAGATGTGAGAACCATGGTAAGAAAAGAGCCAGGCTTAACCCTCGGGAGTGCTGGACATGGTGCTGCAGCACAGCAGAGATCTCTGACAGTGTGTTCAGAGAATATAAAGTGGATTCACTTCCCAAGTGCCCGTGCACAGCTCAAGCACGGGTTTTAATGTGGATGCTTGAGTGATCTCAACATGCTGGCAAGGCATTTGTGGGAATGGGTTGTTGGAAAAGCTTTTTATGGTGAGTTTTATCCCTGGAAACAACTCCTGGGCAGGGAACGGGCAGAGACCATCAACCCCACCTGCCAAGTCAAGTCTGTGACTATAAGGTACTCACTGGTTACTAGCCAGACGTCAGCAGCTGGTACTTGATTAGCAATGTGTTAGGAACATCACAGCTTGCAGAGATACCATTGTCAACATCACAGGAAGCACAAATCACCGTGATTAATGATTCTTCACTCTTAAGCTTACCTACACCTTTGTAACATCTTGTTTTATCTCCTGCAAGGGAGCAGATGGTGTTCGTGGATTGAAAGGCACCAAAGGTGAAAAGGTAAGTTATCACTGCACATTCACATTGATTTTCTGTGGCCTCTGAGCAGTTTTGCAGACTGGTCTCTCAGAATGCTCCCTGTGATGTTTTTTCCTGCACAAGAGGTTTCTCTTAGATGAGCAGGGGCTCAGTACCCAACGGAGTGGTCACCTCTCTGGTTCTGGAGTGGGTGTGGGCTGTGGACCTGCCATGATGTTCTACCACATCTTGGCTTGGACCAGGGAGTAACTGATAACATGCTCAGGATTGAAGCTGTTTGCTGTGTCCAGCCATCACTGGTAGCTCAGGTCAGTGTCAGGATGATGTCCCCCTCACAAAATCTGGAGCTGGAGTGATTGAGCGGAGCTGAAGAGTTTAAGGTGTGTTACAGCAGGATAACAGTGCAGGGGATGTGCTGCCCAGCCGGTCATCACAGCAGCTGGTGAAACCTCACTCAATAAGTCAGCTCAGTCTATCTCTGCATGTCTCAAAGATGCAACTGTTTCTCCCAGAAGAGCAGGCAGTGGAGAAAAACTTTGCTCAGTTCCATAAACAGATCCATGTTCCTTCATTCCTGTCTGCAGCAATTCGGCAGCAAAGCTGTAGTTTTAGCTTAGGGAATCCTGGCAGGGACCTTCCAAACTTCAAAATTCTTTCTGGAAACTGTGTCTTCATTCCTCATCAGAGGCTTGCTGTAGGATGAAATACATTATTGATTTCAGCTCTGCAATTAAACCTTCTTGGCTGAAAGAAATACTGCCACTGTCCTGGAGGTTGCCTCAAAGCACGGTGTAAAACATCCCCCGTGAAAACAAAACCAGTTGTACTTCAGAAATAATTGATTCTCGGTGCTGGTGGAGTGGTGTTAGTCGCGTTGGGCCAGATCTGTGCTCCTGACTTGCAGCCAGGATGGGATGTAGGGAATACTTGCTGTGATCTCTCTGGGATGTCGCTGTTGTACCCTGGCTGGGTTTCCCTATTCACTTGTGCACGCCAAAGGCTTACAGAAGCCAATGTGATGGGTAGTGCAGGGACCCAATCTTCTTGTCCCTGGGTAGGGGCCATACAGTAAGGCTAAAGGTTTTTTTGCTTTCTTTTCATCTCTACCCCTTGTCTGTGTTTTCCCCTCTCCACCATCTAGGGTGAAGATGGCTTCCCTGGCTTCAAAGGGGATATGGGCATCAAAGGAGATCGGGTAAGTCTGTGACGGATTGCAGCCATGAGGGTACTGCTGTCAGCAACCCTGGGGTCTGGGACCTGCCTGCCCCATCAACGCTTGTCGTTACCAGGGGGAAATTGGGCCTCCTGGTCCCCGCGGTGAGGATGGTCCTGAAGGTCCCAAAGGTCGCTCTGGCCCCAATGGTGATCCTGGTCCTCTTGGTCCTGCCGGAGAGAAGGTGAGTCTGTCTGAGGGATGTTTCACTGTAAACCCCGTTTTGCTTTGGGTGTCTGGAGTGGGTGGTGGGGCAGTGCCCAGCATGGGGAGGGGGATTTTAGGGCAGAGTGATGAAGAGGAGCTGCAGGAGGTTTCTGTGAAGACTGACCCAAGTTGTTCCACACAGAGACCAGAGGACACCCAGGGGTGTTGGTTTTACTGCAACAGCGTGACTTGAGGGTGTTGAGACATTGATCCCTTTGGTGTTATCTGCTTGGGTACAACCTCTTGGAAAAAAGACCAGAGGAAAAAGATTGAAAACTGGCAGTATCATGAACTCCATCTAACCTCCGGGTGCAACCCGTTGAAAAAAGAAAATAAGAGCAAAAATTAACCAGCAGGTCCCTGACAAACTTATGGTGCTCACTCTACATCAAACCCACTTGATTCACCCCAGGGAGCGCGGAGGGTGATTGTGGTGTGCCAACAGCTTTATTCCACCCGTGTCATATGTGTTTTGCTCTTGACTTCTCTGCACTTGGCATCTCTCCTTCCTGCTGCTGCAGCTCTGAAGCTGCTCGCAAGGTCTCCCTTGCTCATGCTAACACACTTCTATCTGTGTTGCAGGGAAAGCTCGGCGTGCCAGGACTGCCCGGCTACCCGGGCAGGCAGGGCCCAAAGGTAACTCGGTTGGTTTGGTCTGGGGGGGGGGGGAGGGGAGTGCAGCGACACCGGCTGAGCTCTGGTGGTGCAGCCGTGCTGAGAGCTCAGCCCCAGTAATGGGACAAAATGGAGCAGCAGCAGCTCCCACCATGGGATCCATCCTTCCCACCCGGGCAGGACACAGTGATAGATGGGTAAAAACAGCTCCCAGCCCTCAGCTGGTGGAAATACCTACAGGGGCTGAAAAGAAAGCTGGAGAGGGGTTTTTGACAAGGACAGGTAAGGACAGGATGAGGGGGAATGGGTTCAAACTTCAACAGGGGAGATTTAGGTTAGGTATTACAAGTTCTTCCCTGTGAGGGTGCTGAGGCGCTGGCACAGGGTGCCCAGAGAAGCTGTGGCTGGCCCATCCCTGGCAGTGTTCAAGGCCAGCTTGGACACAGGGGCTTGGAGCAACCTCCTCTAGTGGAAGGTGTCCCTGCCCGTGGCAGGGTTGGAACTGGAGGAGCTTTGAGGTCCCTTCAACCCAAACCAGGCTGGGATTCTATGAAGTCAGTGACTGCTTCTGCATCACTTGTGCAAAGTGGTGGGAAGAGATGTAGTGGGACAGGGCTGCAGCATGTGAGGGGGTGCAGGACACTGTTGGGGAGGGATATAAACAGACTTCATGTGAGCTGTCATGCTAGTAATACGTGTAACAGTTCTTGCATTCTGTTGAGCATCTTCAAAGACCTGAGCTAGTGTTAACTAATTAATCAAGGAGAACAGCTAATGAATCAGGGTCTCCCTGAAATGAAAATAAAGCTGCCACTCGCAGATCTGCACCCACCCTTATTACACACCCACCCTCAGCTGGGCCAGCTTCAAATGTTCCTTTTAAACGAATCCCACGACAGAGCCTGAGGCTGCAGCCCCAGTTTTACACGCCCTGGAGGCTTTGGGAGCTCATGTTTTTGTCAACTTCTTTATTTTAGGAATCATATTTTATTATTCATGTGCATTGCCTGGGAAAAAACCCCAGCCCAACCAGGCTTGTTGAACACTGGAGACATCATTATCTGCAAGAGGTTGTTTCCTGGTTGTGGTGTTGATGGGTTATTTTTTAATTTGCGTTTTCTCTCTGGGATGGGTTTTTTTCCATTTCTTTGCCTAATTCCTATTTTAAGAGCAGCAGCAGCAGCTCTCCAGGCACTCACGTCAGAAAGGAACAAGCCAGGAGTTAAATTTTTATGTGCAGTGTAGTGACTTAGGAGCTCCCAGACAAGAGCTGCCTGTTCCCCAGGCACCCGGCACAACCAGAGCTTGGGCCTTTGCAGGGACTCTGAATGAGACATGAACTTTTGCTGTTATTTTTGGATGAGATGCAGTTTCTGAGGTCATCTCGGGTCTGGCTTTGGGTTTGTTTTCATTAAAGGAGAGTTTAATACAAGAAGCACTGGGAGCTGTGGATGGCAGCAGGCACTGGCCGGGGGTTATTCCAGGCCAGCGGGTGCCTGGTGTGCATGGACAGAGCTGCCCCTGGCTGTGTCCTGAACCACTCACTCTCTCTTTGCTCTTTTCCCAAGGGCTCCATCGGCTTCCCAGGATTTCCAGGAGCCAACGGAGAGAAGGGCACACGGGTAAGAGCTGCTTTGTCGAGCTGCTTGGCTGCTGCTTTTCCTCTTCAAAGAAAGGTCCTTGGGCAGGACGTGGGCAATGTTCCACTGGTGGTGGCTGTTGGGCTGGTGCCCTGGTTGCTCTTGCACAAAGGGGTTGCCTGAAGAGGGTGATCCCGGGAGCAGCAAGAGGCTCCCGATGTCGGCTGTGGAAGAGGAGGATGCTGGTAACACATAATCAGTGCTGCAGACAGCAGCTTCCCAATTAAACACCGGAAATTTTCCCTCAAGGTATTTTAAGAGACTCCAAACCTGGATCCTTCCCGTGCTGTCAGACTTTGCTCAGGGCACAAAGAGCTTTTTAATTAATGGTAATTATTGGAGATGGGTGAATCTATTCAGCAGCAGCAAGAACCACCTTTAGCCCAACTTGAGTTTCAAAATGCGTAACTGGAAACAGTCTCACAAGTTCCTCCTTTTAATGAGAGCTCTTCTAAATTCATAGACACCCTTAAAATGAGGGGGCTCCATCCTTCAGACTTGTCTCTACCTCTCACTCCTCCTCCAGACTTTGCTCCCCAGTAGGGATTGTCTAAATGCACTGGTGATGGTTTTATTTTGTGGAAGACAAAAGAATTGACAAGAATGAGGGGATTCAGAGTGCAAACATGAAGTCATCTTCTGCACCAGCTCTGCTCACAAAAGAGGGGGTGAGAAGAGTGAGTGGAATTAGTTTCCTTTTTACTCTCATTTAAATACAAATGACTTCTAACAGACATGTTTGATAGGAGCCCAGAAAGTGTAAATCACTTTGCACTGCATTAATATCATGCCACTGAAATTTGGTTTATATCCACCCCCCTTTTTCTTCCCCCTGAGTAATTTCATTTCATTCTGAACTAAAATGCTGCATCCCCATCCCTCCCTCCGCTCCAGCTGGGAGGAGGGAGCTGTGAATAAAGCAGCTGCCACAACAGCCTTGAATTCACTGTAGCTCTGTAATTACCACCCGCTTTATCAACTGTACAGCAATAAAATCCTTGGGCTGGATTTTCGGGTGGTGTAAAATTGCCTTAGCACCGCAGCGGGGTGGAGCCGTGCTGCTCCGCAGCCCTGAGCAATGCCATCCCTCTTGATCCAACTGCTACTTTGATTCTGGTGAGATGGAGAGACAGGTCACTGGGATGGGAAACCTGTCAGGGAGCGGAGCAGGTACCAGACTGCTGGTTTATGAGACTGGAGAAAACCCCAAGGGTTGGGCTGGTTGAATTTTGATGATGCCCAGCAGGATAAGGGACTGAGGATGGAACAGGAGTGTTGGGAAGGGGCCCAAAGTCAGGACCAAGTGATGATAAGAAAAGACAAAACATCAGCAGTTTGCTTACTCTTATTCTAAATGAGCTCTATGCTCTTAGGAGGAAGCAGTGGGGACACTTGGCTACACCCCTGCAGGCCTCACGCTGCTTCAGTCTAGGAATTGGAAAGGTTTCTTCGTATTTCAGGTTCAGAAGCTCCTGTTTGTCCCAGCTCAGGAGCCGAGAGGTGCCTGGTGGACCCTGTCCCTGACTGGGCTTTGGAGCGCTGTGGGGCTGGCACTGGCAGCCCAAAATCTCCAGTGGAAAGGAAGGAGATGGGGATTTGGGAAGCAATGAGGCATTTTGTGTGTGGGGAGCAAGGGCAGGGACAGGCGTCCCAGATGCTAAGGGTGAGCAGAGTCTGGCACATCTGGCAAACAGAAATGTCTTGGTTTGGTTTATGGTAATTTGACTTATTTTTTTCTCTCCAATGTGTAATTGGGCCATTTCTGCTGTTTCACACCTGATCCAGCAGCTTTTGCTTGTTTTAGCAGTGTATTTGTATGTGGAAGAAGGGAGAGAGAGAAGATTTTCACAGACAAATGTGTTGTTTAGGAAAAGGAGCCCAGCTTGAAGATCTTTTATGAATAGCAGAAATAGTGATGTTCAGGAACCCATTTGGTATCCTCCTTTTATTTTCCTTTCTCTGAAGTATCCAATATGAAAGAAGTGAAAAGCAATTATATACAGAACAATAGACTGAGCTGGGATCCCACAGCGTCAGACCAAACGGAGACCATCAACTTAATTCAAGCCTCATTGATTTAGACTTGATAAATCAAAGAATGGTTTCTCCCTTGTAGAAATCTCCCTCTGTTTCTCCTGAGCCCACTAAATTTGCTGATGTTTTTGAGCATGTCCACATACAGTCAAGAAAGAAATTCTAATATTTATTTCTCCAATGACTGTGGAGTACCCAATTTGCAGCTAAAACAATCAAAACCCATTTGTTCATCTTTTTACCAGTATTACTATTGTGTGATTCGGTGCAGTTGTGCCCAAAATAATCTGAATCCCACGTTTCCCTTACAATCATGTAGGAATGGAAATAAGCTTTCCAGCTCGTTGTTTCAGCAACAAAAGTGGTCTTCCCAAGGCCTTAAGTAATAAAAAGAAAGGAGAAAACCAAAGGTTGAAGAGCCCAACCAGCAGATCCTGCCCACACAGCGCAGGCACCTGAATTCTGGTGCTGGCAGAACCCACAGCACTAAAGCTGTTCAGCTGCACAAAAGGGCTGGTGACATTAAAAATGGGGAGGAAAAAAGGTGTTGGTGAGTCTGGAGAAGCGTGACCGTCCTCCCCAGCTGCCCACGGTCAGGCTCGGGGGAGCTGCTCGGATGTTTGCAAACCCTAATCATAAAATCAATAGTTAGATGTGAATAAGTGGTCTTATTTTTAGAGCTAATAGGCCCCTGCCATTAGCATGGGGTAATAGATCTCCTGCTCGCCTGGTCTGACAGAGCCTGGGGGGTGTGGAGGGACCAAAATACAACCATTTATTTGGGTGCCTGGGAAATACTGTGAATTTAGATGCCTTTCCCTCAGTATCCCAGTTTGAAAAATATAGGTCTGTGCACATTTACAGTGCTGTGTAAATTCTTCACAGCAGCACCCGGTGCTGTGTGCATGATTAATGACAGCAATAAGCAGGGGAAGATTTAGCTTAAAAATAGAATTGAGGAAGGAGGAAAAGGAGGGTTTGTGGTACCTGCAGGGAGGTGGCACACGCTCCTCTCCACCTGCTCCGAGCTTAGCCTCTGGAGCGAAAGGAAATCCAACTGGAGGAGTTGAAAAGGATTGCTGTAATTCATTAAAGAAGAGATGCCAGCAGGGTTTATTAAGTGGAGCTGCAGAACAAGGAGGATTCAGCAGGTCTAATTTTAGTAGATTGAAGAAAGTTGATTGTAAAGTTTCCCAGCTCCTGTTTCATGTTCGCCTGGTTAATGAGCACAAATAGGAGCAGGTGAGATTACGAGATGATGGATTCAGGGCAGAAAGTGGCGAGTGATATTTTAAGCATCTTGTGTTCCTTGCATAGAAAGCAAGGCTTTTTCCTCCTTTAACCGGTGACACAGCAATGGTGGACTGCGGGTCCAAAGGAAGGAAGTTAAACCTGCTGGAATTTTCTTGGTAACTTGACATGAGCCAAAATAGTGTTTTCAGGGACCAGGCTCTAGGCCATTAATTTTCTTTTAGGCGCAGGGTAGTGGAGCTTAACGTGCTGCCAGACTGAGGACCCAGCCACCTCTGTCTTTCTTCTGTCAGACTTAATCAGAGTCCCCCATTACAGGACGCTGAGCACGTCCGTCACATCTCATGAGCCTCCTGCTCTGTCGCTGCTGCAAAACAATGTCTTCAATTACTTGTTTAGCACAAAGTTCACAGAGATGAAGAAATATTTGTAAATATGTGGGGCAGCTTAATTGGCTGCTCTGGCATAAAATAACTGCTCAGAGCAGGAATCCTGCTCAGCTCCTGCCGTTCCTTCAATACTGAACAGCACAGCTCTAGCGACGTGTGTGTTCATCCTTGTGTGCACCCTGCCCTGCTCCTGGCTGCGGTGAGGACTAGCCCTTCCCCATGGCACGAGCTGGGTGAAGGGATGAGCAGAGATCAGTGGGAAAAGGGATGATAGGTTTTGGGGTGGCAGAGTTGAAGAGCTTTTTTGCTGGCTTTTTAGGAGACTGCATGGTCATCTTTGAGGTGTTTTAAAGGCCGCGGGATGTTTTTCCTGTGGGTTCATCTGCAGCGAGCTCAGCCTGCAATGCTGGCCACTAACTCCTGTTCTTTTTCATTGCAGGGGACACCTGGCAAACCAGGTCCAAGGGGGCAACGCGGTCCAACGGTAACAACCTATTTCTTCATTCATGTGTGATTCGAAAGCTTGTTAAGGCCAGGGGTCAGTGGGATCTGATTTGTGTCCTCACTGAGTAGGGTATGTCCTACAGCAGCTAAAGCTAAGCAGAGGGGATGCAGAAAGTTGGGGCTGGGTCTCACCAGTGAAAGTCCTCAGACCTCCAGAGGCAGTGATGAAGGCTCCTGTCAGCCCCTTGCTGCTGGTGGGATGACTTACTGGTGCTCGGGTGATCATGGTGTAGTATTGTCATACCAGGAAGGGCTCAAATGTTGTCCTCTGTGTCTTTTTAAGGGTCCACGTGGGGAAAGAGGCCCTAGGGGAAGCACTGGGAAACCTGGCCCAAAGGTAAGATTTTGGAGAAGTCTGGTGGAGTTGCGTCCTAAAACGTGTTGGTATAAGAGACTGTCAAACTCATTGTTCTCTATGTCCCCTCTCTCCTTTCTCCATTGTACTTTGAAAGCTGAGCCCTCTTGAGCTTCATCACTCATCCAAATAGCTGTAACCCAACCACAAAGCACATGTAGGTCCTAGAAACACATTGGCCGCGTTTCAGCAGGCCATGAAGCACATACATCAATGGCGGGCTACTGCAACCAGAAGGAAGGGAGAGAACCCCCATGCTAGGGACCTGCCAAGCCTACAACCCACTGACACTTCCCCTCAGCCCTGGTTGCTGGTATTTAAGTAGTGTTCGAACCACCTCAGAGGCTTTAGGCTGTGCCATGGGTGAAGAGGCAGAACAGGTATTTTCCTTGCAGCCAGTCTGGAGACGTGCTCAGCTCCAGACCCTGCTGCAGACACCACTTACCCGACCCTCAGTCAGCGGGCATGATGGAAGCAGAGCTGTGTGGTGAGGTGGTGTCACCGCCACGCTCCTGGCTTGAGAAACAAATGTCTGGGCTTTGTGTCAGCATGAATTTTTGATAAATCTCTTGTCTCTGCAGCAGCATTTATCTCCGAGAGGGGAGCTGGGAGGTGGGGGGAATGCCCTGAGCTTCCTGATGTTATCTTCCCTCTATTTTGATTAAGCAACGAGGGGGGGACAAGCAGCAGCTCATTTGTCACTGGATGCTGCTCCTGAGGCAGAATTATTACTAGACAGGGGCTGGGGGCTCGTGGGGTGTCACGGTTGCTCGGTGCCATTTGAAGTTTTTATGCACAGCAGCTGCAATGGGGATCTATGTATTTTTAATGGTGTGTTGTTTTTTTTGTTCATAAAAGGGCAACTCTGGTGGTGATGGCCCCCCTGGTCCTCCTGGAGAAAGGGTAAGTCAAGCTGGTGGTGGTAAAGCAGGACTTAGTGCTCAGGGGGGTTTGCAGGGAGCAAGATGCAGCTGCATCCTGCACCTTGGGGCATTCATTTGGGGTAGAAGTAGCTGATTTCCCTTATCTTTGTGCTCATGTGCTGTTCACACAGAGATAGTATTTCATAGTAAAGCATTATAAATTCCCTCACCATGTTTTCTGGCTTGTTTTGCATCCAGGGACCACCAGGGCCTCAAGGACCTACTGGATTTCCTGGACCAAAAGGCCCCCCTGTAAGTAACTCTCTTCCTAGAGCATGCAAAGAAATACATCAAGTCTTTCCCATCCAGCTGTGATGCCAGCTCAGCTTCGTGACGTACCCAGTAAAAGGCATTACTGAGACATCAGGATAATAACCCCACGCTTTAAGATTTTAAATAGCCAAGTAAATTGTGGCTGATTATAAATGTTCATTTCCTAATGACTCAATATCACTGGGATCCTTCATGGTTGCTCAGTTCTGCATTTTCCCTGTGTTCTGGAGGACAGCACAGCAGAATAACACTTCTGTCTCTGCAACATTACACACTGCTGGGGACCTCAGGACTCTTCTTGGAGTGATTTCCTTCCTTGTGGTGAACAGCTCATTCCTATAAAGCTTTCCTTTGGGAGATGTGTGGGAAAGAGCTGTATCTTTCTAGGTTCTAGTACCCCTGTTTCACTATAAAGTAGATGGGAACTAATGCAAGGAGGTGAGCAGGTTTCATTCAGTCCTTACACAGTCTGACTACTGAGTACTTAGCGATGGTCATTCTCACTCTGGTTTTCTGCTGTAGGGTCCTCCTGGGAAGGATGGATTGCCTGGTCACCCCGGACAGAGAGGAGAAACTGTAAGTAGCCAGAACCCTTGGGCAGATCATTAGTCCCGAGTCTCATCTTGCCGGTTGGTTTCTCTAAACCCTTCTGTGCAGTTGGGGAGATGTGGCCACATGCTTGGTTTACCTGAAGGTCTGTGTCTCTCCAGCTGCATGGGATGGTCTATGGGAAGCAACCTTCTTCTGAGCAGGACGGCTCGGTCTAATGATGGTTTATCTGTAGGTTGTGCACCAGCTCTTCTCTGGTCCCTTCAGTAAATCATGGAGGTCAACACAACCATAATGCATGGAGAAAACATGAGCAGAGACGTAGTGATGCTGGTGACCAGCATCAACGGCAGATGGGTTTCTGCTGTGATAAGTGCAAGAGGCAGCTCCTCACAAGGTGGTGGATGTCGGCTGGGATTGAGCCAGGTTCAGCACCAGCACTTTGTGGCTCTTGCTTTCATGAGAAGAAGCTGGGGGTGGTTAAGCAGCTCCACAGCCGGGCTCAGTACCCCAGGGGCTCACTGAAGCGCTTGTCCCTTTGCCCTCCCAAGGTGGAGGCTGTGCCTCTGCTCTTGCAGTGCTGCAGGTGACGTCTGTGCATTATTTCCCACTCTGTCCTCTGGAGATGTGGAGGGTTTTACATCTCTATTCCAGAGACATAACTCTAAGGCTGTGATAGCAGAGGTTTTTTGATATGAGACAGGCTCCATCCTTCACGAGCTTTCCACACCCAGCTGCGTTAGGTCAGGGGCAGCTTTATTTTCTCTGGAACATTCAATAAGGAGGAATAAACACTTGTCACCTCTCGATGCACCATGTGGCCAACACCAAGAACTGTTGCACCACAGAGGATTTACAGCCTGGTTTTGGCCATGCTTGTTGTGAGATGAAGACAGCTCCTGGCTGAGAGGTGCAAGGGGTTTGCTCTAGTTTTTCAGTCCACACTGGTTCATGCAGCTCGTGTAGCAGCTGCTGCCTTAGCACCCGACTAAGAGTATCCCTGCTGAAGCTGCCTGTTAGCCAAAGCCTCACCGAGGTTTGCTTAAGCCCCCCAGCAATAACCCCTTGCTGTAGCCCTGGAGCGGCTCCCGGCTGCTCCGGCACCTCGCGGTCATACCCATCCTGCTTTGTCCATTTTAAAAGGTTTTGTTGCACAGATGTAATCATTGTTTCTCACCAAGGGAGAACGATGAGGCATGTGGAAGGTATGATACCCTGGCTGTCATGCATCTGGTGGTCTGTTTTCTGCACCTTTTTTGGCTTGAAAGATACCCTGAGCAAAAATGACCCTTCTGCCCTGGCTCCTCTGCATGCAGCCATCAGCATCTTTCTGTTTGGTATTTCTGGGGATGTTTGCTTTGTTCCTCGGCTGTTTACAATCCAGCTCACTCACTGTTTGGGGATGTCTCTCTCCCCAGCACTGCATGCTGCATGGTAGCACATAGACTCTTTGTTCTGTGTTTATTTTACAGGAGAACTACCACCCCCCCCCCTCCCTCTACTACCCCGC